ATCGCCTCCAAGAGCGAGTTGGCCATTTGACGTAGCTCCGCCCGTACAATAGGGGGTTCTTCATCTCCGTGGTTCCCACCATGAACACTCAAATTAGATCCTACCATGTTAGACTAGTTTCAAGAAAAAATGGAATAGGTAAATTTGTGGAAACACACAATCTCACCTCTTACTTACCCAAGTTCTTGCTCGTTCTCAAGGACCATGATGGTGCTGGTGTGGCAGCTTCAACGGAGGTGGTAGAGAGGTCGTAAGGATTACGAATCGAACGTCCCGGTTCAGGTTTTGGTGGAGCTATAGGTGGCTAACAAGGAGGGCTACGGTACTGCCAACCGAGTGGTTTGATGTGCTCAAAGACACGACGTTCCTGCTAACAAGATTACCACCAACTCAAATATGTAACTGAAATTTTTAGCAATACACCGCAACATAGATCCTTTCAAATTCTTTTCACTTCTCCCTTTTTTTGATCTTTTTTTAATAACACTGACAGCGGTAACGAATGAAATAACTCAATTTTTTTATATAAACGGTGGTAACTAGCAACTCGATGAACACAAAACACAACGTAACAATACCGAGAAATGGTTATAGGTATTTTTTTTGTGGCTTTGGACTATAGGATATGAATAAACACAAATATATGAAGTAGATTAAACAAGGATAACGATGTGGATGACGGCAAGACCTACCGTGTCAACTTGTGCTCTGATACCACATGATAAGTACTAAAGCTATTTCAGTACGGGAGTTGGCCCGATCTTCACGACAGTAGGTTGGAAATCACAAGATAACTTGCTGCGAACAGCGGAGGATAACTAGCTTTATACCTGCCAAGGTTGGATGCGACCAAGCGACGGGGAGAGAGGCACCAAAACCGCGAAGACTTTGACTCGATCTCCGAACGACCGCAGAACCACAACCGGAGCTAATCCACATAAGGCAAGGCAGCCGTACTGGAACCCGCAAAGCACGAACTAGTGGATTCCAGAGGAATCTCTTCACAAGTCCAGGAAGAACAAGGGTTTGAGTAAGCACTCGGCAGCTCGGCTGCAATATCACTGGAATTATCAAATTATCAAAAAGTCATTTTCTAGTAGCCTAGAGGTTGTATTTATACTATGAGAAGTTTCTAAGATAGATGTGAACTGAAGAAGCCACGTTGGAAGGTGGAAGAACAACGGACTAGAGCATTCACGAAGTGGTCTTTAGTTTCCACGTGTCTTCTGGGCTTCTGGGCAGTCTTTAATGTTTTGGTCATAACTCCTTCCACGAATTATTGTAGAATGGTACAGTTTTTGCACAGGCTCTTTAGCTTCATGCAGACTATTGAGCTTCGGAGCAGTCTTCACTAAAACTGGTCGAACGCCCAGCTCTTCTCTCTGATCCATCCTTGATGTATCCTTGTCTTCTTTCTCGGAGAACCTGAGTAATAACAACATGCACGACTTAGGTAGCTCAAAATTACCATCAATGTTTAATTGAAATTCACAAAGTAGCGCGTGCACCTCTTGTTGTATCTTTTTAGCGCGGCTACGGGTGATTGGTCCAGTAGGGACTTGAAGTGGTGTATCAGCTGGTGAGGTGGTCGGAGAGGTTGCCGAGGTCGATGAAGTGATCGGAGAGGTCGCCGAGGTGGTCGGTGAGGTCGCCGAGGTGGTCGGTGAGGTGATCGGAGTGGTCGGAGAAGTGGTCGGAGTGGTCGCCGAGGTTTTCGGAGTGGTCGGAGAGGTGGTCGGAGTGGTCGCCGAGGTCTCCGATGCTGGCGTGGTCACATCACGTGACCTTTTGACGGAGGCGGATCAGTTGTCCACCTCAATTAATCGTTTTTGCCCGCCTCGGTTAAAATTACAGTAGTAGTGGGTGCTGGGTGGTGCTCGCGCGAAGCCGCTCGTCGCTGGCTCGACCCCCGTTGACCGGAATAGACCGCCCCAGGCCTCTCTCCCACTGTGTTGCAAATGTACGTTTCAATTGTTTCAGATGTTTCAAAGGCACATTGCAATTGTTTCATATGGATGTTGCAAAAGTAGATCGGGAGATATTTCACATGTTGCATATGTTGCAAGGGTTTCAGAGAGGCATGTTGCAAGCGTTTGTTCAAACTGTTTCATCTGCAGACGTAAGTTGCAAGTGTTTTGATTTGGATGTTGCATATGTTTTCAGACATATGTTACAACAATATGTTCCAAAATGTTTCATCTGTTTCAGTCTTCTGTTGCAGCAAGTGTTTTCATGTTGCAAGTTGCAAGTGTTCTATCTGGATGTTGCATATGTTTTTACGCATATGTTGTAAGTGTATGTTTCAAATGTTTTACCTGTTTCAGACATATGTTGCAAGTGTTTTATCTAGATGTTGCATATGTTGTAGTGCCCATACACATATGGAGCAAGCGTATGTTGTAAATATTTCATCTATTTCGAACATATATTACAACAAATGCTTTACGTTGCAAGTGCTTCATCAGCAGGCTTAGCTACGGGGCATAGGTAGAAGTGGTCCCCTCAGACGCAGCGGTCCCTGCTTGCGCGGGGGAATCCAAGCGGGCGTGACAGTAGGAGCGGAGCACAAAGTTGTATCCATGGGCATGGCAACAGGCGTGGAGCACGAAGCTGCATCCCATGCCCGGGTGCTCTCTCTCTCTCTCTCTTATTCTAGATTGATGCGGCTGGTCAGCAGTAGCATCACGTGCCAGCAGCATGCGTGCAACAGGAGTGTGCGCCTAGGTGTGGCCCTTCGTTACTACCCCTGATGGCAGCGGGCGCGATAATTCCCTCCTCCCCATAAGCATGCACAGTCAAATCGGGACCAGCGGCAGAGGCACGGGAAAGGAGCACGCGCGGGCGCATCAATCTAGCAAATTACTCCCTCCGTCAAAAAAAATGCAATTCTCGTTTTTCGAGAAGTCAAACAATTTAAACTTTAACTAAATTTATATAAAAAAAGTACTAATATTTATGATACAAAATAAGTATCGTTGAATTCGTTATACGATATATTTTCATAATAAATTTATTAGGATACATAAACATTAATACTATTTACTATAAACTTAGTCAAACTTGAACTAGTTTGACCGACACGAAACTCTATAGTTGTATTTTTTTATTGGACAGATGGAGTATAACAGTGGGTAGCAGGCGCGGGGCAGCAGCATCACGTCCCGTGGAGGCGGAGGCAGCAGGCGCGGGGCGTCCGGACATGCTGCTGGCAAATTAAAAATGGTGCGTTCAGCGTGTCATAGACAGATGACAGTAATTCACAAAAAAAAAAGACAGATGACAGTTTCGGTACATGCACGCTTGCCCCCGTGGCTAGAGGTGTTGTAGGCGAGCCTAGAGTCGGTCTCGTTTTCTTGTAAAGTTGTTTTGTTCCTGTTTTTCTTTTTTCCGATCTAATAAAAATACAGCAAAATCTTTTGCCGCCTCTCGAATAAAAACATCCATATGCTCTCCGTACGTGATACGTATATATATATTTTGCTTCCATATATACGAATGTCTTCTTATTGTTGATGACACACGAGCAAACATCTATCTAGCTATAAGTAGTAGTATCACGGAGAGCATATACGCATGTTTAATTAAATTGTACTATATTAGTCACAAGAAATTCAAATTTTAGTGGAAGAAGCAGAATACAACTATATATTATACAAATGCATGCATGGGCTCACATCGGTTGCCAATCTTGAGGATAGCGTCCAGCCTAGGCCCAGCCATGCATGGTTCAGGCTGGTAAGTGAATGGTCAAGTTGGACGGGCCAAAAATATACGTTAGCCCATTTGTTTATTAAATTGGCGGGCCATTGGTGGTATTTTAGTCCAAGACATTAGTGATGGTGCCATATCTGTCCGATCCGTGGCGCCCCTGGTTTTGAGGCGAAACCGGCAAACCCAAGCACGCTCCTCCGAGCCACCTTGCGTATCCGCCACGCAAGGTCTTTAACGCTGACGTGTGTCCTTGCCTCGTCCTCGGCCCATGTCGTCTCTAAGTACATACTTGGGTTTCGCTCTTGGGCCGCCCCTTTTCCTTGAGCCCAACTTCGCCTTGACTTGGTCAACACCATTCTTTCGCGCCATACTCCACCATGCACGTACTCTTGCTCTTCACATGCACGATGTGGATCTCCCATGACCTCGCACGAACTCCTCGGGTCCCTCGGTCCAAGCTACTAGCCTCGTTTGTTCATCCTTCACCGCCCTAGCTTGGTCCATAGGCATGAACACTTGGCTTGACCTTCACCTCATGCATGTCGTCGACCGTCGTGCTGCATCCAACACGTGCACATGACAAGCCAAGAGGTGCATGACCAGTTCGACACCACGGTTGTCAATCACTCATCATCCAAGGGTGACCACCATTGGTCTCTTAGTTATATTTTCCATGTAAAGTAGAAGCCACTCGTTTGTTAGAAGCAGGTGGAGACAAACTATCAACAAGGTTTAATTACACGCACTGTGGTGGAACCGCTCAATTCGTACGGATTCAATCACCAAAATATAACAAACTTTGGCCTCGAGAATAGGGCCATGCATTTTTCTTACACATCATTTTCTAGAGTTGTTTAGGTATGCCAGTTAGGTCTGCTGACAAAAGTGTGTAAAATTTGTATCATTGGTCACAACACCAATATCTCGTGCTAAGAACATGTCCGGATCATTTCAACAAGTCACTGCTAGCTCAATCACACAATCAATTTCAGAATATGTTATCTTAATATCATAATATTAAAAGCCACAACATTCGCCCTCCAAATAGGCTGTGTGCGGCCGCAGAGGCCGAAGACAAGTTCTTCATTTTTCTAAATAAACAATTGCTCTTTAAAAAGTAAAAAAATAAAGTGTGTAAAAAAATAAACATTTGTCTATCAAAAAATGATGGACAAACCAAGTTATGAGATCGAACAATGAGTGGAGGTTTTGCCTCAATTAATGCCTCATATATATTGAGGAAGTGGTAGTGGTGATGACACGAATGGATGACTCAATCAATCAATGCTTCAATTCCCAGTGGCGGCGACGGTGGTGAAGGTCTTCTCCAAGACGTTGAGCTTGTCAGCAGGAGCAGCCACAATGACCTCGTCAACTACCTTGTTGTAGGCAGCAAGGACCTGAGCGATCTTTTTCTCATCTCCATCCGCATATGCCTTGCTGATAGTGGTGCCAGCGGTGTACAATGTTTCCTTGAGGACGATAGCTTGGGCCTCTGACATTTTGTTTGCTAGGTCAGCCACGCCGACTCCATTGACAGCCTTCTAAACCTTGGAGTGCATCTCGCGGTAGGCCTTGTTGATGTTGGGGCAATCTAGCGGGCTAGGTGCGGCTACCGAGTTGAAGGAGTCCTCCATCGTCTTGAGCTTCTTCTCCGGTGGCGCAGCTTTGATCATGGCAAGGGCTACCTCCACGCTAAGGACGAGGTGGGCAATTTTCTTCTCATCTCCTGTCTCCTTTGCCTTGTCGAGAGAGGAAGCAAGGGGTTTGAGGTTGAAAGCATCTAGGCCCCTAGTTGAGTTTCGGTGATTAATGACCACACAAGATTACTGTGACTAACGTGTGTTTTTCAGAGGCATTATAAGTTAGGTCATGGTAATGGTGATTGATTGGGCACTTATGGTATTCATGCCCCTGACGATGGAATTCGTTTTGGTTTTCAAAGGATGGAGGACAGGGTTAAGGACGGACTAGTTCTAAGTGTCGTTTAGCGTTGAGAGACACTTAGATTAGTTGTAGGACTTTGTTTTTTCTTTGGCCGTACTATAAAGGGGGGCATGGATGGTGTAACACTGAAAGGACCTTGATGTCGCCTAGAGGGGGGGTGAATAGGCCTGTTTAAAACAAACTCATAGTGGAAATTAAATTCTAGGTGCGGCACTGCTGCTTCCAAGGTGTAGCACTGCCGCACTGCGGCACTACCTCACTAAAGTGCGACACTGCTGCTCCTATAGACAAGCTCAAACTACAATTCAAAAACTGCCCAAGGAAAAGTTGATCGAGCAAATTACTGATGTTCCTGGGGTAGTGTAGAGCCTATTCTACCACCAAGATGTTGGCAGAAGTGCACGAGCAAGTAGATCGGGATCAAACCCTAGAATCACCATAAATACAAGTATAGCAATGCAAATCACAAGAACATAAGTGAGACACCGATTTATCCCGTGGTTTAGCTCGTCACTAAGGCTTACCTATGTCCATGTTGTTGAGGTTGCCATAAAGGCTTTGGGTCTCTTTCAACCCTTTTCTCGTTCTCAAGTCAAGAGAATGAACTCTTGAGATGATGGGTGATTTCACTAGCTGTTTGGGGTGATTACAAACCTCCCAAGGCTATCACACAAGTTGGGAAGCTCCACGGGCGACGCTCTAGCCGGCTAGGAGCAAAGCTCTAAGAGTAATAAACACAACCGCCGACCAAAACGTGAACCAAGTGCTCTAGGAGATGAAGAACAGTTGGGGTTGCTCTCTAGTGCAGTTTGGAGGCTCAAACGCTCTTGGATTTGGAAGGGAATCAAAGGGAGAAGCTTGAGGGGCTCCAATGGTGAGTGAGGGAGAGAGAGAGCTGATCTCTTCTATTCTTGGATGAGCTGAATGAGTGGAGTGCTCCAGAGAAACGTTGGGGGGAAGGGAAAGGTATAAATACCCCTCAGCCCCAACGGTCACTTAAGTCACGGCAGCGTCGCGGCTCAAGTGTGGCAGTGCCGCACCAGGCAAGACAGCAAGGGTAAGAGTGAAGTGTTGGTTGTCTTGGCTGTGAATCTGAGGATACATGTGTAAGTTTGAGCACTTGGTAGCACATGTTAGCTTAAGCATTGTGTCCCTCTTTATAGTATGGCTTTTCCTATACTCAAATTCAAAATATTAAAGAATTTAAACACCTTTGAGTTGGTCACCGCATCCTTTTTATAATAGGGGGCTCCACCATCAAATGTATTGTCCTTATTCCTATTATACCTTAAGCATGTGACTTGAACCATTTTAACCACTTGAGTCTTCAATGTCTTCATATGCCATTTTTTCTCAATATCACTTCATAAGGGGTTGCAATCATCTTTATCTCATCTATTCGAGCAAACATACCTTGAGCATGTGACTTGAACCATTTCCATACATATGAGTTCACCTCAATGGCTTCAAGTCACTTTCACTAATGATTTGATCCTCAACACAATATGACTCCTCATAGCTTGATTAGTTCCTCGACTCAATGCAACTACTCTCTTCTTCACTTTAGCCATGGTATCTCGGTCCTCAAGCCATCACTTGCCCTTCACCTTCGCTTAGTCCCTCAAAGCCCTTTCCTTGCTATCTTCACCTTATCAAGACATACTCAAGTCACATCATATTAAGTATCCATTGAAAAGCCATTTCTTTAATAGTATGATCCTTTCTTCAATATCTTCTAGATATGAATGTTGAGATCAATTAAGCTTTAGTTTGATTCACATAAAGACATATATGAATCAACATCAATATGGTCAAGTCAAATCACGATTCCTTATATCCTCTTCATTTTGGCTTGACACTCCTAATACTCACTTCAATATTTATCTTTATACTTCTAGTTTGATCAAAGAAATGCAAAGTGATTTTCCAAATCTTTATCCATACAAGCAAACCAACATAGAGACTGACTTATATCCAATATGAGTTGTGTTCTTTGTCATTTAAACCTTTGCTTGCTATTTCTTCACTTATGCATTCTTGACTCATTCTTCAATCCTTGATCAAAGCTAATCCACTATCAACCTCTTCTTGTTCATGCAAAGCAAGCCATTATTGAGACTAATCCAAAATCATCAACTCATGTCTCTTTTAACATTTGCCAAATATGCTTGCTTTTTCATGATACTGTGATATTCCTCAACATAGAAGCCATTTTATCAACTTCATTTGCATTATTGTCTTTCTCTTGAACTATATTGTTTCCGTGATCTTCCAACACAACAATGCACAATTTGGCCTTGATTTGAACATTATATGGAATATCATCAAGTTTGCCTTCTTGTTGAACCTATATACACTTCTCATTCCACAGTCCACAAGTGTATGCAATAAACTCAATTTCATGTTCAACACTTAGCAAACTTGTTAGACCTTTAATGGTGTTGTCATTCAATTCATCAAAACCCACTAAAGGGCTAGATGCACTTACAAACACCATCGGTGTTGTGCCCTAAACAAATTACCAAATCATGTCATGAGCATCATGTTTATGTGATAATGCATGTGATGGAATGTGTAGATAATATTTTTGTAACTTAAGATGATCAACAAAAATGTTAAATGAGAAGCTATTCCATAACTCATACTCCCTCTGTCCCTTTATCAATGTCGTTGTAGCTTTTGAGGAGGTGCAGCACAAAACATGTGAATGTGGACAAAGGGATAGTCCAGATGCACAACAGAAGGTGTGAATGTGGATAGAGCTGAAGTGTGCCAGAGCGACAATCAATACGGGACAGAGGGAGTATGTATCAAATAGGGTTTAAAACTAATTTTTATTGAACAAAAAACACTATAGAACATATATGTAGCACTTAAATAAAGTTTGGAATATAAACTTTGTAGATGACAATGAAATACTTGCCGTGGAAAAATAACATTGCTAGCCAACATTTCTAATAGCCTAGAAATGCAACTTGGAATCAAATTCAGCTCAAAGACTTAGAATATTTTCAAGTTTATAAACAGCAAGACAATGCAATGTTTGGTGATTTATTTTGTGAAATCGAGTTAGGAGGTGGTGTCGTGTTTTAGCTCGAGTTGGTAGCCTAATATGCTCTCTTGAGCATGGTGAAGATGGTTTAGCCTCAAGAGCAACCGTTTAGTTGTTATAGGCCCTTTAAATTTCATGCACGACACATTCTTGGGTTGGTTGGCCAGGTGGGCGCGGTCACCACGTCTTGGGAGCGCGACGTCGCCTCACTGGCTCGCCCCATGCGCGCACGCGCGCTGCTGCGCGAGGTTGCTATCACCATGGCGCCGTGCTGCGCTGCTACTGCTCGCACGACCAAGCGGCACTGCTGCCTACCTTGCCGCACTGCCAACCCACCTCGTGCCGTGATGCAGCCGCAGCCGCTGCCATCGCATCGCTGTCTCGTCCGCGCCTATCCGCTCTACCCTTACCCCACCGCTGGCCTAGATAGATGCCACGCGCACGTGGTTGAGCTTGCCATCACCATGCCATTTATGGCACTACGGCCGCGTAGGCCATGCCGGTCGTGGACGTGCATGCTTGTCCATAGCGTCTACGTGCGTGCCTCCCCGATCACGCTGGCCACGTCCCGCCAAGGCGAGCCCAAGCTGAGCCCACCTGTCGTGCCCCGTCTCTCTCTCTGCCGCCGTCGGAGCCACGCCAGCACATTAGACATCGAGTGATCGCCTCCATTCAATTCAACACATCTGTGACTTCACCATCAAGTTCTCTAGCTACCCAACCCCACCTAGCCATGAAGCACGCACTGCCAAGCTCTAATTTGGTGCTTTTCCCACCGCCGTGCCAATAAGGCCGTGTCCGGACGAGGGCAGCCCCCTACTGTCCACCCCGATCCAATTCACCTGCACCACTAGCTTCGCCTCGCCTCCCTCTTCACCTGTGCAAGTCAGCGGAATTGCTACCGCCTCCCCATCGCCGCTAACGTGACCGTGCTACCACAGTGCGTCGTCGCATGGCTCGGCCGCATGTGGCCACCCCTCCTCCGCTATCCTCCACCCCAACCGTCACTTCGTCCTGGTCCATGGTAGCCTCCTAATGCTCACGCGTGAGTCAGTTAGGTCCGTAGTAGACCCAGCTCACCAGAGCGGGTGCACTGCCACCGTGGACGGTCGCGCGTCGCTGTAGCTCACTCCAACATGTCCTGTCACCCCGCGTTGCTGCTTGGTATAGGCGGTTGGACCATAATTGAAGGTCGGCCCGACCGACGGGCCAGCGTGTGCCTAGGTGGCCGGCGCAGCCGCGCTGTGCCACCGCCCGCCGCGCCACCGTGCCCTGAGTCGCTGGGGTGCGCGCGGGTGAATTAGGGAAAGGTCAGAGGGTTAAGTGAGAAGTCTTGTGAGAAGGAGAAATAGCATTAGGACTTAGTTATAATTTGGGAGAAGTGCGAGGTCTATTTTGTAAAAGCGCCAGCGCGGGCGGGATTCCCCCGCCGCGGGCTGTCTCGCGCGCGGGCCGGCGTCGCGTGGGCCGCTTCAGCGGGCCGCTGCTCGCATGCGCTGCGCTGCGCGGGGCGCGTGTTGTGGGCCACGCGGAGAATCCATTTTCTTTTTTCAGGGGATTAGTAAATAGTTTCTAATTTAATTTCTAAGCTGATCTTTGGTAATTAATATAAAATCATGTAGGTGTCCAAAAATTCTAAAACAAATTTTGTTAGGTTCCTAAAATTATGATCTATCTGTTGGTGTAATTAATGTATACATATATATATTGATACTAGGGGTTATTAAATCATTTGAGAGTGCTCAATATTATTAGGTTAAATATTGTAGGAATTTTTGTGATAAATTGGTGATAGTTTTAGTCCTAAAATTTTTATGGTAGCTTCATTGTATTATTATATGCTCACTGTAATTTTTGTAGCCTTAGAATAGACCAAGCATTAGGGTAGTTAAATGCTCTTTGTTTTAATATACATTAAATCATTAGTAGAAATAAAGATATATCCTTAATTTGTAAAGCTAGGTGTTTGTTAGTTGAACCCAATACTTTGCTTGGTAAAGATGATAGTTAGCTTAGTACCTTAGTCATTAGAGCTAGCTTAGTAGCTTAGTATGCGTATTTTTATTTTAAGAGTTATTGTTGCCTAAATGCTAAGTGTTGCATCATCATCGTATGCATATAGAGAACGAGTTGGTGGAGATAGTGACCAGAGACGATCAGGAGTTTGAGGAGATCATCGAGAGTATGAGGAGTAGATTCTAGTGCAGGAGGAGGTCCCGGAACCACCGACGACTGACTCAACTGACACCGCGCCTGCCCAAGTCAAGTCCCCGGTGCATAACCCTTATTTTTGATAATCACTGAATATATATGTGATATGCATTTACGTTACATGAATTTTATAGAAACCACATGTATAGATATATCTGTCCTATGAGTCTTACTAGTGTAGGTTCGAGTAGCTGATATGCTTAGGTTTCGGTAGCGTGAGTAACTTGCCATTACTCACAATAGGTGATTATTATAATTACTCTCATGATAAAAATGATGAAAGGAAAATAGAGACCGGGCAGGGATATGGTATGGGTTTTGGTGGATGTAATAAGTTGTGTCCCGTGGCCACGGGTACATTATTTTCCTTGTCCGTATCAATTGAGCACCGTCCGTTGCTGTGGATGGTAGTCAGGTCACAGACTTATTATCATAAGCACATACTTGCTTATGGGAGCGAGAAGGCTCGTTACGCTCTTGTTGTGGGTTCCGGCTCTTTCCAGACCAACTAATTGGAGGCGGGAAAAGATGGAGGTCTAAGCACCATATTGGGACCGGTCTCAAGTGTGGGGGCTTGGAGTCTAAGTTTGGACGGAGACCTAGACCCCATGGCAGAAGTGGAATGGGTTGGTCTTGTTTGTGCTTGGGGTATAAATAGGGCGTGTGTTTCGAGATACCCAGCTGGGATACATTGGTTCGTGAATCGCTATTTCTATGAGACGGTACGACTTGGCTATGGTCTAGCATCATAGTAAGAACTAGAATATGAAAGATGATAAAATGGTTATCATTGCTCAACCCTTGCTTGAAGGTAGTACATGTGCTTACCTAGAATGGTTAGCTAATGAAGTAATCATGACTGCTAATTAAACTTCATCTTAAGGACGTACTTCTAGTAATGCTTTTCGCAAACAAAAAGAAAACAGCAAACCTATATTGCCAACCATACCCCTTGGAGTCGGGAAACTATTCCCACTAGTCGGGTAAGTCTTGCGAGTATATTGTGTACTCAAGGTTTATTTTACCCCATTGCAAGTGCAGCTTGAGGGTATCTCTTGTAGAGAGGATTCTTCTGATGGGCACAGATGGATCCTTGTATCGTTTTTGCTAGATGTTTATTTTCATTCCGCTGTTTAATTATCGCACTCTGAACCCTGGTATTATAATAAATAATTTCCAAGAACTCTTGTTGTATGAAATGGACTAAGTATTGTAAGCTCGTACTCATTATTGGATTCTAGAGGTAAAACGTGGATTGATTCGAGTTCTCCCGTGGGTGTGCTCGATGGAACTATCCGATGTAGCTAACTTTCAGGGTGCTTAGTGTCTAGTGGAAGACGAGCGCCTCCGAAGGCATGTTATTTCATGCGGTTCTGCCATAGATAGGTAGCTTGACCTAGGCGTGTCTAGTGAGAAGAATGTGGTGCATATTTGTTAAATCTAGCGCTAGGTAGCTCAGAGGAAGTCCAAGATCATCGGAAGTCAGAAACCGTTTCCAATCAGAACTTGAAACAGAGGGCAGCGCTGGGGGTGGCACCGGACATGGCGGTGTACACCGCCCCTGGTGCGGCAGTGCACCACCCAGGGAGTGGCGGTTCCACTACCCCTTTTCTCCTAAGGCTGCTGGTTTGGGAATAACCTCTGGCGGTCACCAGACAGGGCACCAACCTTGGAGTGGCGGTGCCACCGCCATTTATTTCTAGAGACTCGTTGTCTCCATGTTTTGCTTGGACGGGCACCGGACAGGGCAGCACCCTTTGGGTGATGGTGCCACTGCTATTTTATTCTAGAGAGGAGAGAAACTATGGCTTGGTCACTGCCCCTATGGTGGCGGTGCTAGCCCAGAACGGCTAGTTCAAAACTAGCCGTTGGGGTGGCACCGGACAGGGGGTGGCGGTGTGCCACCTTGCTGTCCAGTGACCTTGACTTTGCTGAGTTGGAGGGTAACGGCTAGTTCCTTGGCTTGGGGCTATTTATACTCCTCCATCTCATGCATTAAGGCTCTCTTGCCCATTTGTTTAGCTGAGGAAACCATTTGGTGTGCAAGGGAGAGCAAGAGCCTAGTGGGGTGATTGAGATTTGCTAATCCAAGATTAAGGACCTCATTAGTGCATAGAGAGTAGCAAGTGTGCATCCACTCTTCTCATTAGGCTTGGTTGAGTCAAGTGAGAGTTTGTGCTTGTTACTCTTGCTGATCGCCATCACCTAGATGGCTCGGTGGTGATTGAAAGCTTGGTGATCATTCAGCAGAGCTTGTGGATAACCCAAGTCATGGTGTGAGCGGTTGTGGATGATTTACCACGACTGAGTGTCGAAGAATCAGCCCATAGAGAGCACTTGATCCTTGCGCAGATCAAGGGGGAGCTACACCCTTGCTTGTGTGCTCCAACGAGGACTAGTGGGGTGTGGCGACTCTCTAATGCCTTAGAAAAATATCACTGCGTTCCTCTCCCTCTTTTTACTTTGAGCAATTCAATTCATGTCTTTATATTCTTAGAATTGCCATGCAAGAGTAGGATTGAAACCTAGGGTGCAAAACTTTTGTGCGATAGAACAATAAAAACACTTTTAGGCACAAAGGGGTGAAATGGGCTAAGTGTAGGGTTTAATTATTGTAAAAATTTAGAATTAGCTCAATTCACCCCACCTCTTGGACATCTTGATCCTTTCAAAGGTGCTTCAAAGCGGCATGCAAGGTTTCCGTCTACTTGGCCGGTAGGGCGGCGGAGACGACAGCACTGATAACCTTCTGGATCCATAAGTCGAGGTCGCCAATGTACTTTTCGGCGGTGGGGGACAATTGCGTCGCCGCGGCAGCGGCTTGATCCGCAACAACAAGGACACTACTAAGCAGGAGGAGGAGGATCATAATCTTGGCCATGGCGGATTAATAATGCTAATAAGATCGAGTTGGTTCAGTACAATGGGTATGGTGGTGCTCCTATATATATGTGTGCGTTGATGAGTTACTTTCAATAATAACCAAGAGAGACTCATGAGTATGTGTTCCAAAATTAGCTACATCCATGCATGTAGGGCATGTCCGTTCAATAGACACTCTTTCTCAAGGGAGCGCCTGTGCGCTGACTAGGGGTGAAACTGGCCACACGTCGACCCCTAACAAATTATTTTTTCTAAAGCGTGAATTGACCCGTTTCTCGTGTACTTGGGTCTACGTTGCCAATCAGGCCCATGCCTCACGCAGAGAAAACCAGGAAGCAGCCAATTGCTGACATCAGCACATATCCTATACTTTTTGAAGTATAAAAAAAGTTATAGCTCCTAAACCAAGTATCCTTATTAAAATCCAATTGCGCCATCGTGTTCCATGCAATAAACTCTTCAAAACAAGACCCCACGTGGATACATTTCAATAAAAAATTTTAATGAACATGTATTTAAAGACGATCGTCGAACATCACGTTAACACTACACGAACATCGTAAAAAATACCATAGAACATCATATTCATGCTACGTGAATATCACATATATCATAAATGTAAAAAATAAAAAAATAAAAAATAAATTTAGTGAAGTAATTAATTATAGTCAAATAAAAAAATAAAAATGATACCGAACATCACAAATACATAGAAGAATATCCCATTAACCTTACACGAACATCACAAAAATATAACATAGAACATCATATGTATATTACGTGAACATCGCGTATATCATGAAATGTAAAACAAAAATAATAAAATTAGTGAAGTAATTAACTAGAGTCAAATAAAAAGAAGAAAAAATGCTACCGAACATCACAAAATATGTCCTAAAACATCAACGTATGCTTACTGAACATCACAAAATACATCGTAAAACATCACATTTCTACTCACGGACATCAAACAATGCATCATAGAACATTACATGTATACCACATGAACATCACGTGTATTTACAAATAAAAAAGTAAAACATAAAATTATAAATAGAAGAAAAGAAAGAAAAATAAAAACAACGCGTGGGCACTCGACTAGTCAATCAAAAGGTCATCTCTAAATAGTACTCGGCGGGGCCCAAACTCCCGCATCGTGCCCTTGGAACCTGTCACGCAGGTCCTTTGTGTTTTGTTTGTTACTACTAGGCCCACAAAGACCCAACACAGTAACCATTGTAGCCCGACAGGCCCAAACCACGCGTGGAGTCGCCTTTACGGCCCATTGCTGCAGTGCCTGCTTAGTTCAACGACTCTGCCCGCAGCCGCCTTAATTTACACCTTGTCTGCCTGATGCGCGTGTGCTCGTGCACAAGACGAGGACGATGCCGGTATGCCACGCTCACGCATGAGCTGACTCAGCATGTCAATCGTCTCGTTTCGTCTCTTCCTATGTTACTCCTATATCATATCGTATAAAATATTATATTCGTCTATCTATCTATCTATCTGTTCATTAAGCATGCGTAGGAATATATCTAACCTGCAGGCAGCCTAGCTACAGGTACTAGGTACAGGACATGTTCTCATCATCATCAGTTAGCTCGCCGGACATGATATTCCTTTTCTTCTCTATCTATAACTTTTCCTTTGTAATAAATAAATAAAGAAAGAAAGAGATTAAAGTTATATCTTCTCTCAATCAAATCACATAAGTATGAAATAGTCTAAAATAAAATAATAATAAAAAGAAACAATGTCGTATGTCTACGGCTCTACAAGCCACGCTCCACCCGGCCCACCCAAAAGAAATCCAGCCTGACCCAACCCGATTGACACATCAAGTGGGCAGGGGCACACTCACAGCCCAGCACAGACTCCAGTCCAGCCCAACAAAAGAGCCCACTGAAGCATCCATCTACACGCATCATCGGCCATCCACTCCGCCGCTGCTCTCCCGTCCTCCCGTGACCGCCAGCGGCGCTCCGGCAGGCGCCAGATGGGGTGGGTGTGGGTGCGCCGGATGGAGGCAGCTCATCTGGCCGAGAGGAAAGCCCCCTGCGGGCTGCGCCTGCCTTTCCCCAGCGCACGGCCAGCCGCCAGGAGCCATCGCCCGCGCCGCCGGGGAGAGGGAGGGAGGAAACCAAATCCAAATCCAAATCTCCGGGCAGCCCCGCCGGCCGCTGACGCATATCCCCACGGGAACGCTCGAGCTCCACGTCGTAGCTGCCTGGGCTGTCGGGTTAGCCCGCCGGCCGTCCACCGGGCGGGCTCGGGCCTGGATGTGCAGCCCGGTGCTCGGGTTGGGCACGGGCCTGGATATGACCGGATCCCGGCATATGATCAGGTCGGTCTATAATACGTAGGCCGGAAAGGTGGTAGCAGAAAGAAAAGCCCATCAAATTGAGAGCCAATCTTTTTCTTTCCTGTATTTTCCAGGCTTTTCCCTAGTCCTATTATTTCTTTCTATTATATTATATAATATAATAATTGTTGTGTGTAGGCTCCATCTCCACCGCCCGCCGCGCTGAGCACGCCTGATTTCCTCTCTTCCATCTATTGATTGAAGATATATATATATAAAAAAAAGAGTGCTTTGCTACATATTGCTATCACTCCAAGATCAAATCTTTTTGACACTCACACCCCGCTGGCAAGGCATAAATATGGGCTCCGAATCGGTGGACGAGGTGCTCTATCCCGCCGCCGCCGCCGGAGTCCATCTTTCCGCGCTCCGTCTGGACGGCCTCAACCGCATCCAGGGTTCCGCGTCTTCCGAGGAACAACCAACGACATCTGGCATGGAGAAAGGCCACCAGGAGCCCTTTGTTATTGGTTAGTAATGTGTACTATACTATATGTACTGTTACTTTTTTTTACGGCAATATGTACTGTTACTTGATTGATTCATGGACATCTATCTACCTGTCTTCCTGCGCCTCGCCTACTAGTTCAGTAGTAGTAGTAGGATGTATGTCAATCGCTGAGTATGGCGCAGCCCGTTGGCCCTGAAATAGGCGTCAATGCAGCATGCCCTGAATCGCTGAGTTTCCCTGCAGGTGTTGCTGGGGGTGCATCCTCAGGCAAAAGTACCGTATGCAAGATGATCATTGATCAGCTGCGCGACCAGCGTGTGGTGGTTGTTACGCAGGTTTCTGCATTGCTGCTTTCCTCATGTTTTCTCATCTGATCTGATTCATTAGCATCTCATCTCGCAGCATATGTGCGTTCTACTAACCTACCTGTTCAACATTACTGACCAACATAGCATAGCATGATACTATATGCATTGCTAGGCTTGATTATCACATTGTCATGCCACACTGTTCCCAATCTCTTATTTAACACTGCAAGCAGCAATGAGACTGTTCTCAAATATTTGCAGGAGTCCTTCTATTATGGACTGACGGATGAGGAATTAGTCCATGTTCATGATTATAACTTCGATCATCCAGGTCGAATTCATCCTTCCACAAGAATTATATTTTTTGTCCTAGTCCCAAGAGTTTTGCACTGAATATGCCGGGCTGCACCTTTTTCCTATTTCAGATGCATTTAATACAGAGCTATTTCTCTCTTGTATACAAAACTTGAAACGTGGCAAAGCTGTTGACATCCCTGAGTACAACTTCAAGACATACAAGAGTGTCCCGGATGCAAGAAAGGTGCCGCTTTAAGTTTAGTGCTATTCATAACCTAACCTGCCTGGTGAACTGATTGTTTCTTGGTCCTGATCGGATTTATAGGACTATGAACACAACCTTTCATTTTTAATCAATATCTGCACATTGTCGTGAACAAGTTGCATTGTTTTGTATGGTCCCAATAATAACCTGCTCCACAAATATTATTGTAATAAAAAATTGTAGCTTAGGGTGAGTACCTGGTACGCTATTTGCTATTTTGCCAACAGCTTGTTTTTTAAACATTGATTCCATACTGTCCATTTTCTTAAAAAAATTGGCTTTCTGCTGATCTGTTTACATTATTTATTCAATCTATGCAATACTTGATTTTTACAAGCAACCCTAATTTTAAAACTGTTGCCAGGTTAATCCTTCAGATGTTATTATTTTGGAAGGAATTCTAGTTTTTCATGATTCGCGTCTCCGGGATTTGATGAACATGAAGATCTTCGTTGATACAGGTACCGATATTTTTTCTTATAGATTGATGTTTTCTTCTGTCTCTGCCTGTTGATATTCCAGAAATATGCAATGTACAACCATTTTATTCTTTCTATTCCTCGAGCTAGAAATGCATCATGGTTGATGATTTCCTGTTCTCTTTTTAAGGATTTTTCTTTTGTCCTGAATTCCCAGATTTTTTTAATGCACAAACTGCGTATGTTGTGTTAGATCAGGTTACTAATTTATTGAAGGTGTCATCAAAGATAAATTTAAATTGTCAATCCAGATCTACTGATTTGTTTTCATATCTTTGCTTCCATTCCATATGTTGAGCATTCTACTTCCAGTCAGAATAGGCTATATACTTTCAGTACTCATTAATCGGTTTCATGGTAGTGAATCATTTCTTGTTATAACATTCACTTTTATTGATTCATCAGATGTTGATGTACGGTTAACAAGGAGGATCCGTCGTGATACCATTGACAAGGGTAGAGATATCAAAACTGTGTTAGATCAGGTTACAAAGCTTCCTTTATTGCAATTTTTGTTGTCCATTGATAACAACATTTAGCTGATCTTGGTTGTATAGCCTTTTCATCTAATAATATTCTTATCTTGTTGCATACTTTACATTAAGCTATCAGTTTTCTGCTCATATTCTTAACCTTTTTTTTCTAATACAACTTTTTTCACAGTACTCAAAATTTGTTAAGCCTGCTTTTGAAGACTTCATCGTCCCAACGAAGAAGTATGCTGATATTATCATCCCACGAGGTGGAGACAACAATGTGGCAATTGACCTAATTGTTCAGCATATTCGGACTAAGTTTGGACAACATGATCTTTGTAAAATACACCCCAATTT